GCGACTCAGTGGAGGGAAGCATTTAAGTGCAACACCAGGAACAAAAGTGAGCAGATGGGAAAATCGGAGAGAGGGCTCACGGACTCTTCACTGGAACTCAGTGAGGAGGGACAGGTCCCCCGCTACCCACGCCCACCCTGCGCAGAAGGCTCCCGCGCAGTGAGAGGCGGAGGCGATTGGGTGTCAAACAGCTCTTATGTTGGAAGAGATTCAAGAAACGCCCACTGACGGATTCTGCTAGTGACTGAGACAGTCCTGATCAGAAGGGGCTGTGCAGTCAGAAAGGTTTAACAAGGCAAAATCAGCCTAGAGAGGCACCAGTTTACGCACGAGTAACTCATACTCATTACAATAGTCTTGCAATCCTTCATGAGTTGCCTCAGATTATACTTTGTGAAGTACAATTGTTGAGATATACTTTCAGATTTTTTTAGCAGAGTGGACAAACGAGGCTGGCAGTTCTGACATGTTGGAATCAGAACTGTCTGGATGTGGTATTCCTCCATTGTGAATCTCTGTATAGGGGGATCCACTGGTACTTTGAATTGTGAAAGAGATACAGTGTTCAAAAACCTAGGGGGTTTCCTGATTTGGGCATTGCCTTCCGTACACAATAAAGGGAGTGGAGGACAGATGAGGGGGAAATGTGTCATCCAGAGGATAGCCTGATAGAATCATAGAACTGTAGAGCTGGAAGGGATCACAAGGGTCATCTGGTGTAACCCCCTACAATGTAGGAATCATTTGCCCAACATAGGGCTCAAATCCACAACCCTGAGATTCTCATGCTCTACCAACTGAGCTACCAGAACAGGGGTAAATAATATCTGGGCAGAGGTTTAGGAGATAGTCATAGTGAGCAACAGAAATGGCTCTAATCATTTGGACCATAGGGACCATCTTGGAGAGCACATTGTAAATTGCTTTGAGGTTACTTTTTAACAATCAAGTGGTGTATGAATTTTAGGAAATAAAGAATAAGTAACGGAAAGCTTTCAGCTTTCTGTTT